GGTGGTGTGATACATGTGTAGAGAGTAGTGGTCGGTGATGTGATACGATACACATAACTAACTGTATGATGAAGTAGAAGCGGGTAAAGATAACTTAAAATGTTTATACTATATAAACGGTGGAGATCCTGAGAGACTGAGTTGGTAAGATTTATGACATAAAACACAAATAAGACTCAGAACTAATAAAGACTATGAACTAGTACTTGGCTACAACAGAGTTAGAGTTTTGTTAGTACATAACTAGTAATGACGAGACATGGAGAGGTTGTCTTAGCAAGGTTTGCGCGAGTACCTTCACTATTAGCGCCTAATTGATCCCGCTCATCCGTCAGTCATCCGTCAGTCATCCATCTCAGCCGATGGAAGGGACCCCCTCGAGTCTCCTTTTCCCCCTCGACATGTTCATATATATATATATATATGTGTGTGTGTGTGTGTGTGTGTGTGTGTGTGTGTGTGTGTGTGTATAATATATATATATATATATATATATATATGCGAACAAGCCTGAATGGTCCCCAGGACTATATGCGAATGAAAACTCACACCCCAGAAGTGACTCGAACCCATACTCCCAGAAGCAACGCAACTGGTAACTACAGGGCGCCTTAATCCGCTTGACCATCACGGCCGTCAAAAGGAAGTGATAGCCGAGGCTATTTGAGCCACTTCCCCGACGGCAACTCGGATGGTAATCTTGGGCATAGCATTTCACCAAATCACCTCATTCTTTGGGGCACACGTGAGGAACACAAATGCGAACAAGCCTGAATGGTCCCCAGGACTATATGCGAATGAAAACTCACACCCCAGAAGTGACTCGAACCCATACTCCCAGAAGCAACGCAACTGGTAACTACAGGGCGCCTTAATCCGCTTGACCATCACGGCCGTCAAAAGGAAGTGATAGCCGAGGCTATTTGAGCCACTTCCCCGACGGCAACTCGGATGGTAATCTTGGGCATAGCATTTCACCAAATCACCTCATTCTTTGGGGCACACGTGAGGAACACAAATGCGAACAAGCCTGAATGGTCCCCAGGACTATATGCGAATGAAAACTCACACCCCAGAAGTGACTCGAACCCATACTCCCAGAAGCAACGCAACTGGTAACTACAGGGCGCCTTAATCCGCTTGACCATCACGGCCGTCAAAAGGAAGTGATAGCCGAGGCTATTTGAGCCACTTCCCCGACGGCAACTCGGATGGTAATCTTGGGCATAGCATCCCTGGAAACACAAACCGAAACTGTCTCTATTTTCCGCTTGTTACAACTTGTAATAAAGTTGTTACATCTTGGCTTAACGTGTTTATGACGTATTAGAACGTTGTTACAACTTGCTATATTGGTTGTTATAACTGGTTAGGAGGTGTTAAAACTTGTTCGAACGTTGTACCAACGTCGTAGTTTCGGTATGTGTTTGGAGGGATTTCACCAAATCACCTCATTCTTTGGGGCACACGTGAGGAACACAAATGCGAACAAGCCTGAATGGTCCCCAGGACTATATGCGAATGAAAACTCACACCCCAGAAGTGACTCGAACCCATACTCCCAGAAGCAACGCAACTGGTAACTACAGGGCGCCTTAATCCGCTTGACCATCACGGCCGTCAAAAGGAAGTGATAGCCGAGGCTATTTGAGCCACTTCCCCGACGGCAACTCGGATGGTAATCTTGGGCATAGCATTTCACCAAATCGCCTCATTCTTTGGGGCACACGTGAGGAACACAAATGCGAACAAGCCTGAATGGTCCCCAGGACTATATGCGAATGAAAACTCACACCCCAGAAGTGACTCGAACCCATACTCCCAGAAGCAACGCAACTGGTAACTACAGGGCGCCTTAATCCGCTTGACCATCACGGCCGTCAAAAGGAAGTGATAGCCGAGGCTATTTGAGCCACTTCCCCGACGGCAACTCGGATGGTAATCTTGGGCATAGCATTTCACCAAATCACCTCATTCTTTGGGGCACACGTGAGGAACACAAATGCGAACAAGCCTGAATGGTCCCCAGGACTATATGCGAATGAAAACTCACACCCCAGAAGTGACTCGAACCCATACTCCCAGAAGCAACGCAACTGGTAACTACAGGGCGCCTTAATCCGCTTGACCATCACGGCCGTCAAAAGGAAGTGATAGCCGAGGCTATTTGAGCCACTTCCCCGACGGCAACTCGGATGGTAATCTTGGGCATAGCATCCCTGGAAACACAAACCGAAACTGTCTCTATTTTCCGCTTGTTACAACTTGTAATAAAGTTGTTACATCTTGGCTTAACGTGTTTATGACGTATTAGAACGTTGTTACAACTTGCTATATTGGTTGTTATAACTGGTTAGGAGGTGTTAAAACTTGTTCGAACGTTGTACCAACGTCGTAGTTTCGGTATGTGTTTGGAGGGATTTCACCAAATCACCTCATTCTTTGGGGCACACGTGAGGAACACAAATGCGAACAAGCCTGAATGGTCCCCAGGACTATATGCGAATGAAAACTCACACCCCAGAAGTGACTCGAACCCATACTCCCAGAAGCAACGCAACTGGTAACTACAGGGCGCCTTAATCCGCTTGACCATCACGGCCGTCAAAAGGAAGTGATAGCCGAGGCTATTTGAGCCACTTCCCCGACGGCAACTCGGATGGTAATCTTGGGCATAGCATTTCACCAAATCACCTCATTCTTTGGGGCACACGTGAGGAACACAAATGCGAACAAGCCTGAATGGTCCCCAGGACTATATGCGAATGAAAACTCACACCCCAGAAGTGACTCGAACCCATACTCCCAGAAGCAACGCAACTGGTAACTACAGGGCGCCTTAATCCGCTTGACCATCACGGCCGTCAAAAGGAAGTGATAGCCGAGGCTATTTGAGCCACTTCCCCGACGGCAACTCGGATGGTAATCTTGGGCATAGCATTTCACCAAATCACCTCATTCTTTGGGGCACACGTGAGGAACACAAATGCGAACAAGCCTGAATGGTCCCCAGGACTATATGCGAATGAAAACTCACACCCCAGAAGTGACTCGAACCCATACTCCCAGAAGCAACGCAACTGGTAACTACAGGGCGCCTTAATCCGCTTGACCATCACGGCCGTCAAAAGGAAGTGATAGCCGAGGCTATTTGAGCCACTTCCCCGACGGCAACTCGGATGGTAATCTTGGGCATAGCATTTCACCAAATCACCTCATTCTTTGGGGCACACGTGAGGAACACAAATGCGAACAAGCCTGAATGGTCCCCAGGACTATATGCGAATGAAAACTCACACCCCAGAAGTGACTCGAACCCATACTCCCAGAAGCAACGCAACTGGTAACTACAGGGCGCCTTAATCCGCTTGACCATCACGGCCGTCAAAAGGAAGTGATAGCCGAGGCTATTTGAGCCACTTCCCCGACGGCAACTCGGATGGTAATCTTGGGCATAGCATTTCACCAAATCACCTCATTCTTTGGGGCACACGTGAGGAACACAAATGCGAACAAGCCTGAATGGTCCCCAGGACTATATGCGAATGAAAACTCACACCCCAGAAGTGACTCGAACCCATACTCCCAGAAGCAACGCAACTGGTAACTACAGGGCGCCTTAAGCGGATTAAGGCGCCCTGTAGTTACCAGTTGCGTTGCTTCTGGGAGTATGGGTTCGAGTCACTTCTGGGGTGTGAGTTTTCATTCGCATATAGTCCTGGGGACCATTCAGGCTTGTTCGCATTTGTGTTCCTCACGTGTGCCCCAAAGAATGAGGTGATTTGGTGAAATGCTATGCCCAAGATTACCATCAGAGTTGCCGTCGGGGAAGTGGCTCAAATAGCCTCGGCTATCACTTCCTTTTGACGGCCGTGATGGTCAAGCGGATTAAGGCGCCCTGTAGTTACCAGTTGCGTTGCTTCTGGGAGTATGGGTTCGAGTCACTTCTGGGGTGTGAGTTTTCATTCATATACATATATATATATATATATATATATATATATATATATATATATATATATATATATATATATATATGTGTGTGTGTGTGTGCATTCATATATATATATATATATATATATATATATATATATATATATATATATATATATATATATATATATATATGAATGTGTATGTGCATGTATTTATATACAGGATACGTGGAAGCTGGTCGGAATTGCATTTCACCTATGAAAATGCACTTTAATGACATTTGGTAAAAAAGACATATTAACACTGTTTATGTAGGGTGTAAATATGTGTATTTATGTATGTAGGTTAGATTACCATTTTAAAAGCACTACAATCACCTTCTGTGGTTGATTGTTCAATAAATCCCTGAACTATATGTTTAACAGATCGCTCACCTGTCCATGGAGGACACAAGTAAATATATATATGTTGGTTAGTATTGTAAATGTTGGCCACGTCTGTGGTAGAAAATAATAATAATAATAAGAAACTACATCCACCGTGGGCGGCCCCCCCCCCCCCCCACCAGCTCCCCCCCCCCCTACCACCAGCTCCCCCACCCTACCACCAGCTCCCCCCCCCCTACCACCAGCTCCCCCCCCCCTACCACCAGCTCCCCCACCCTACCACCAGCTCCCCCCCCCCTACCACCAGCTCCCCCCCCCTACCACCAGCTCCCCTCCCTACCACCAGCTCCCCTCCCTACCACCAGCTCCCCCCCCCCCACTACCACCAGCATGAGTGCTAACGAGCTAATTACGACCCTGGACGACCAGTCAACCCTCCATAATTACTCTGGAACAAGCCCCATCTTCCCCCCCCCCCCCCCTCTATTACAGTTTACCAACTCGGTTGTGAAAAATAATTAAACTTTCGAAATTAAAAAAAATTACAGTCCTGAAATGATTATATATTTTTTTAGGGAACACATTGCATTATTATTTGTTAATTGTGTTTGGTTATGATCTGTGTGGTTAGTGTGGTTAGTGTCGCGTCCTGGGTATTGTCCGGCGGTTATTATTTACTCAGCTCTGTGGTCCTCTGAGTTAACTGAACAATAATTGGTTCACGTACAATAATTGGTTCACGTACAATAATTGGTTCACGTACAATAATTGGTTCACAATCAATAATTGGTTCACGTACAATAATTGGTTCACGTACAATAATTGGTTCACGTACAATAATTGATTCACAATCAATAATTGGTTCACGTACAATAATTGGTTCACAATCAATAATTGGTTCACGTACAATAATTGGTTCACGTACAATAATTGGTTCACAATCAATAATTGGTTCACGTACAATAATTGGTTCACGTACAATAATTGGTTCACGTACAATAATTGGTTCACGTACAATAATTGATTCACAATCAATAATTGGTTCACGTACAATAATTGGTTCACGTACAATAACTTTTTTATTTTATTTATGTTTAATGCGAGCATGCGAATAAGTACAATAAAAGCAAACCAGAACACAAACAAGAACAAAGCAAGTAGAGGACAAAATTGCTAAAGTACCAACTTGCAAAATTACAAAATAACAAAAGTTCTAAGTACAAAACACCGGCCTGAAGGGCCGACAACATAAACACAACAATAAAAACAAACACAACAATAATGACAAACACAATAATTACAAACACAGGAAAATAGTACATAAATGACAACATTGCAACCCATAGCACCCAAACCCCTCTCCCAACAACCCAATCACCGGAACATAATTATACCAAACGAGCCTAATGCCCCCGCAAACCACACACGGAGAGGCACCAATATATAACGATAATAAAATCAAGAAAGGGAAAAGAAACACATAACATAGAAACAAAAAGAAAACTACAACCGCAATACATAATATTGAGAACCAAAACAGGCAGGGGAGCGCCAGCAGCCGGAAGGGCAGCAACGCCACACAAACAAGAGCACAACCAGAACAATAAATAAAAATAAAAACTTAAAAAACAGAATAACAGGACATCCACAACCAGACACACACTCAAACAAACACGGGAACGCACAGGAACCGGACATACACACACAATCTACACTAATAAACCCACAATCACAAACCGGAGCACGCAGGAACCGGGAAAGCACACCCGCCCCACCCACACACACACTCCACAACCACGCACACAAACGGAAACAAACCACAACACACAGCAAACAAAAAAATCACGGGCGAGGAATACATTTCACAGAGACAGGAACATATTTCTCAGGGAACTCATTCTGAGGATACGTGTGCTTATAGGCCTCCCAAACCAAATACTCCATGTCGGTAGGGAAACGATCCCCCTGCCTCCGTGGGGCCCGCATAAGCTCAGGAATCACCAAGTCAGGCGGAAACGGCCACTCCCTAAGCTCGCCCACGCAAGTCGCATAACGGGCGAACCACCATCAAAAGACACCAAAGAAGCGTACGTAGGCCGCCGAATGCACAGGAGAAGGCGATGGCTGCCGAGACAGTAACAGCTCCACCAATACCGCAGGAGAAACAGAAGAGATGGCCGAAGACGGAAGAGGCGTCAAAGCCACCACCAAGGAAACTGAGAACGAGGAAGGGGGGCACGGAACCCTTAGAGCAGGCAAAGGCTTTCTGGCAGTCCAGGAAAATGCAGTCTGCCCACCCTTCTCTTTCCTGCCTAATTTGTGTTGCCTGGTCATAGAATTTTATTAAGCCTGTGAGGCACGATTTACCATCCCTGAACCCATGTTGGTGGTGCGTTACAAAGTTATTTCCCTCCAGATGCTCTACGAGCCTTTTCCTCACGATCTTCTCCATCACCTTGCATGGTATACAAGTTAGGTGTGTCTGTGTGTGTGTTTGTGTGTGTTTGCTCACCTATTTGTACTCACCTATTTGTGCTTGCGGGGGTTGAGCTCTGGCTCTTTGGTCCCGCCTCTCAACTGTCAATCAACTGGTATACAGGTTCCCGAGCCTATTGGACTCTATCATATCTACACTTGAAATTGTGTATGGAGTCAGCCTCCACCACACCACTGCCTAATGCATTCCATTTGTCAACCACTCTGACACTAAAAAAGTTCTTTCTAATATCTCTGTGGCTCATTTAGGCGCTCAGTTTCCACCTGTGCCCTCTAGTGCGTGTGCCCCTTGTGTTAAATAGTCTGTCTGTATCTACCCTGTCAATTCCTCTGAGAATCTTGTACGTGGTGATCATATCCCTCCTAACTCTTCTGTCTTCTAGCGACGTGAGGTTTAATTCCCGTAGTCTCGCCTCGTAGCTCATACCTCTCAGCTCGGGTACTAGTCTGGTGGCAAACCTTTGAACTTTTCCCAGTTTAGTCTTATGATTGACTAGATACGGACTCCATGCTGGGGCTGCATTCTCCAGGATTGGTCTGACATATGTGGTATGCAAAGTTCTGAATGACTCCTAACACAAGTGTCTAAATACCGTACTTATGTTAGCCAACCTGGCATATGCTGCTGATGTTATCCTCTTGATATGGGCTTCAGGGGACAAGTCTGGCGTGATATCAACCCCCAGGTCTTTCTCTCTCTCGGACTCTTGAAGTATTTCATCTCCCAAATGATTCCTTGTATCTGGCCTCCTGCTCCCTAGACCTATCTTCATTACATTTGCTTGGGTTAAACTCTAACAACCATTTGTTCGACCATTCCTTTAGTTTATCTAGATGTGTGTGTGTGTGTGTGTGTGCGTGTGTGTGTGTGTGTGTGTGTGTGTGTGTGTGTGTGTGTGTGTGTGTGTGTGTAATTACCTAAGTGTAGTTACAGGATGAGAGCTACGCTCGTGGTGTCCCGTCTTCCCAGCACTCTTTGTCATATAACGCTTTGAAACTACTGACGGTCTTGGCCTCCACCACCTTCTCACCTAACTTGTTCCAACCGTCTACCACTCTGTTTGTGAAAGTGAATTTTCTTATATTTCTTCGGCATCTGTGTTTAGCTAGTTTATATCTATGACCTCTTGTTCTTAAAGTTCCAGGTCTCAGGAAATCTTCCCTATCGATTTTATCAATGCCTGTTACTATTTTGTATGTAGTTATCATATCACCTTTTTCTTCTGTCTTCTAGTTTTGGCATATCTAATGCCTCTAACCTCTCCTCGTAGCTCTTGCCCTTCAGTTCTGGGAGCCACTTAGTAGCGTGTGTGTGTGTGTGTGTGTGTGTGTGTGTGTGTGTGTGTGTGTGTGTGTGTGTGTGTGTGTGTGTGTGTGTGTGTGTGTGTGTGTGTGTGTGTGTGTGTGCGTGTGTGTGTGTGTGTGCGTGTTGTCCCCATGAGTGCGTGTAAGCATCAGGTGTAAGACAGGTGGGCAGACAGGTGGCCACCATCGACCAGCGGACACTTGCCCGCCACTTCTCAAGCGTCACCTGCTCCGTCCCTCAACACACCAAACTGAGTTCATGTGCGACAGATGGAGAGTTTTGGTCTTGGCAGTAGGGAAGGAACGTTTACAACAACACAATATAACTTGCCAACTGTAGGTAGTAACGAGAGGGGGGGGGGGGGGCGACGGCAACACTGTTGTGGCGTGGTCCGCGCCGCGAGCGAGGTTAGTGTCGCCGCGAGGCCTGGTCAGGTCGCCCGCGAGTGTCGCGCCGCCAGGGGTGGGAGTCATGAGGCCAGGTCAGGTCGCCTGGGTGAAGCAGCGCTTCGTCGCCACCAATATTAGGGTTAGTTCTCTTGTAAGCCCTTAACTGGTTGACTGGGTCTACACTACTGGGTCTTGTAAGCCCTTAACTGGTCGACTGGGTCTACACTACTGGGTCTTGTAAGCCCTTAACTGGTCGACTGGGTCTACACTTCTGGGCCTTGTAAGCCCTTAACTGGTCGACTGGGTCTACACTACTGGGCCTTGTAAGCCCTTAACTGGTCGACTGGGTCTACACTACTGGGCCTTGTAAGCCCTTAACTGGTCGACTGGGTCTACACTAGTGGGTCTATAGAAACGTATGTAAGGAATCGTTCAGGACCCTGTGCACCACTTATGCCAGACCAATCCTGGAGTATGAAGCTCCAGCTTGGAGTCCATACCTAGTTAAACACAAGACAATGTCAAAGAAGATTCAGGGGTATGCCACCAGACTCGTCCCGGAACTCAAAGGTATGAGATACGAGGAAAGGCTAAAAGAGCTGAACCTCACGTCCCTGGAAGAGAGAAGAGTAAGGGGAGACATGATAACCACCTACAAAATTATGAGTGGGAATTAACAGGGTGGACAAAGACAAACTCTTTAGCACAGATGGAACACGAACAAGGGGACACAGGTGGAAACTTTGTAGCCAGATGAGCCACAAAGACATTACAAAGAAGTTTTTTCAGTGTCAGAGTAGTTAACAAATGGAATGCATTAGGCAGTGTTGTGGTGGAGGCTGACTCCATACACAGTTTCAGATGTAGATATGATAGAGCCCAATAGGCTCAGGAATCAGTACACCAGTTGATTGACAGTTGAGAGGCGGGACCAAAGAGCCAGAGCTCAACCCCCGCATGTGAGTACTAGTCCTGCCTGGAGGCCTTGTCTGGTCGATTATTCTGCTCTTCTCTAAATATAAATTACTGGAGATTAAATAAGCTATAAAAATCTTGTTCGTAATTATATAAATAAACTTCTAAATCAATTACATAAACTCAATATAATAAAAGTTACAAAAGCACGTTTATATTGTGTTGTTGATCTATGTTGTTATAACCCTTGTTGTGGTGAGGTGACGCAAGTGTTTGTGCTTGACGCAACAGCTGGCTCCCCCGTGCCCTCAGGTGACAGTGTATCAGGCTCCCCCGTGCCCTCAGGTGACAGTGTATCAGGCTCGCCCGTGCCCTCAGGTGACAGTGTATCAGGCTCCCCCGTGCCCTCAGGTGACAGTGTATCAGGCTCCTCCGTGCCCCCAGGTGACAGTGTATCAGGCTCCCCCGTGCCCTCAGGTGACAGTGTATCAGGCTCGCCCGTGCCCTCAGGTGACAGTGTATCAGGCTCCCCCGTGCCCTCAGGTGACAGTGTATCAGGCTCCCCCGTACCCTCAGGTGACAGTGTATCAGGCTCCCCCGTGCCCTCAGGTGACAGTGTATCAGGCTCCCCCGTGCCCTCAGGTGACAGTGTATCAGGCTCCCTCGTGCCCTCAGGTGACAGTGTATCAGGCTCCCCCGTGCCCTCAGGTGACAGTGTATCAGGCTCCCCCGTACCCTCAGGTGACAGAGTATCAGGCTCCCCCGTGCCCTCAGGTGACAGTGTATCAGGCTCCCTCGTGCCCTCAGGTGACAGTGTATCAGGCTCCCCCGTGCCCTCAGGTGACAGTGTATCAGGCTCCCCCGTGCCCTCAGGTGACAGTGTATCAGGCTCCCCCGTGCCCCCAGGTGACAGTGTATCAGGCTCCCCCGTGCCCTCAGGTGACAGTGTATCAGGCTCCCCCGTGCCCCCAGGTGACAGTGTATCAGGCTCCCCCGTGCCCTCAGGGGACAGTGTATCTAAGGTGCCAGTCTTTGTGTGCTGGTGCCCCGCGCCTTAGAACATGTCTCTCTCTATATATGTTACAACTTGTATTGGACACGTTGAGAACCTGCGATGATATCCGCGGGTACTTGTAATTTGCCACATATTAGGCTTATTGTCCAGAGGGGGGTGGGGGGGGGGCGGTACACCGCTGTATCAATATTTCCTTTACTGCTAAGACTTATCTGTTAATATCTCGAAATTTCGGTGATGTTTCTCTTGTGTGAAGTAACGGTCATGATATTGATTCTTGCACGAGACCAGTCTGTGCTCGGAGACCACTCTTACCCTTCTTGGTCAGGAGGCAGCCCCCGCCAGACCACCAGGAGGCAGCCCCCGCCAGACCCCCATGAGGCAGCTCCCGCCAGACCCCCAGGAGACAGCCCCCGCCAGACCCCCAGGAGACAGCCCCCACCAGACCCCCAGGAGGCAGCCCCCGCCAGACCACCAGGAGACAGCCCCCGCCAGACCCCCAGGAGGCAGCCCCCGCCAGACCTCCAGGAGGCAGCAACCGCCAGACCACCAGGAGGCAGCCCCCGCCAGACCACCAGGAGACAGCCCCCGCCAGACCCCCAGGAGGCAGCCCCCGCCAGACCCCCTGGAGACAGCTCCCGCCAGACCCCAGGAGACCGCCCCCACCAGACCCCCAGGAGACAGCCCCTGCCAGACCCCCAGGAGACACACCCCACCAGACCCCCAGGAGACAGCCTCCACCAGACCCCCAGGAGGCAGCCTCCACCAAACCCCCAGGAGACAGGCCCCACCAGACCCCCAGGAGACAACCCCCGCTAGACCCCCAGGAGACAGGCCCCACCAGACCCCCAGGAGACAGCCCCCGCCAGACCCCCAGGAGACAGCCCCCGCCAGACCCCCAGGAGACAGCCCCCACCAGACCCCCAGGAGACAGCCCCCGCCAGACCCCCAGGAGGCAGCCCCCACCAGACCCCCAGGAGGCAGCCCCCACCAGACCCCCCAGGAGGCAGCCCCCACCAGACCCCCAGGAGGCAGCCCCCACCAGACCCCCAGGAGACAGCCCCCACCAGACCCCCAGGAGACAGCCCCCGCCAGACCCCCAGGAGACAGCCACCGTCAGACCCCCAGGAGACAGCCCCCACCAGACCCCCAGGAGACAGCCCCCACCAGACCCCCAGGAGACAGCCCCCGCCAGACCCCCAGGAGACAGCCCCTGCCAGACCCCCAGGAGACGCTGGGACGAGGCGCACTTCAATAGAGTTTAGTAAATGAATTAAATTTGTAAATGTTATGTATCAACGCCGGTAGTAATCTTTATATCAACACAGCATTGTTATTGTGTCAATATGTGAGGGAGAGTGGTGAGGCGTGTGAGAGTGTTGGTGAGCTGTGCTGCTCACGCCTGCTGCTGTGCCCTGAGCAGTGTGGTGCTGTGGCTGCTCACGCCTGCTGCTGTGTCCTGAGCAGTGTGGTGCTGTGGCTGCTCACGCCTGCTGCTGTGCCCTGAGCAGTGTGGTGCTGTGGCTGCTGACGCCTGCTGCTGTGCCCTGAGCAGTGTGGTGCTGTGGCTGCTCACGCCTGCTGCTGTGCCCTGAGCAGTGTGGTGCTGTGGCTGCTCACGCCTGCTGCTGTGCCAACACTCACCACAGCACAGACTCAGCCACACGTTCTGGTTCTCTACTGTTACAAAGATCGATTCATTCTCTGCTTCCTTGAAATACGAAAATGTGGTGCGACATTAACTTATAATGGCGGGAGGCCGGTGAGGGCGCGGCCAGGCCCACGCCACGCACGCCAGCACGCACTCTACCTCTCACACGCACTCTACCTCTCACACGCACTCTACCTCTCACACGCACTCTACCTCTCACACGCACTCTACCTCTCACACGCACTCTACTACTCACACGCACTCTACCTCTCACACGCACTCTACCACTCACACGCACTCTACCTCTCACACGCACTCTACTACTCACACGCACTCTACCACTCACATGCACTCTACCTCTCACACGCACTCTACCTCTAACACGCACTCTACCTCTCACACGCACTCTACTACTCAAACACACTTTGCTACCATATGCACTCTGCCACTCACACGCACTCTGCCACTCACACACACTCTACTACTCACACGCACTCTACAACTCATGCACACTCTACTACTCACACACACTTTACTACTCACACGCACTCTACTACTCACACGCACTCTACCACTCACATGCACTCTTCCACTCACACACACTTGAAAGAATAATTAGGCTAAGACTTGTTGAGCACCTGGAGAGCATTGGGTTTGTAAACAATCATCAACATGGGTTCTGGACAGGGAAATCATGCCTAACAAACCTTTTAGAATTCTATGATAAAGTAACAAGGATAAGACAGGACAGAGAATGCTGGGCAGACTGCATATTTCTTGACTGCCAAAAGGCCTTTGATACAGTACCGCACATGAGACTGCTATACAAACTTGAGAGGCAGGCTGGAGTAAGCGGAAAGGCCCTAGTATGGGTGAAGAACTACCTAACAGGAAGGAGCCAGAGGGTAATGGTAAGGGGCGAGAAGTCGGACTGGCGAACAGTAACAAGTGGAGTACCTCAAGGATCGGTGCTGGGGCCAATCCTCTTTCTAATTTACGTAAATGATATGTTTACAGGAGTGGAATTATACATGACAATGTTTGCGGATGACGCAAAATTAATGAGAAGAGTTGTGACAGACGAGGATTGTAGGATCCTCCAATAGGACTTAAACAGGTTGCAGAGATGGTCAGGGAAATGGCTACTGGAGTCTAACACAAGTAAATGTAAAGTTATGGAAATGGGATCAGGTGATAGGAGACCAAAGGGACAGTACACAATGAAGGGGAACAGCCTACCTGTAATGACTCGAGAAAGAGACCTGGGAGTGGATATGACACCTAATCTAACTCCTGAGGCACATATAAATAGGATAACGACAGCAGCGTACTCAACACTGGCGAAAATTAGAACTTCATTCAGAAACCTAAATGAGGAGGCTTTTAGGGCGCTTTACACTGCCTACGTGAGACCAGTCTTAGAGTATGCCGCGCCATCATGAAGCCCCCACCTGAAGAAACACATAAAGAAACTGGAGAAGGTTCAGAGGTTTGCGACGAGGCTTGTCCCAGAGTTACAAGGGATGGGATATGAAGAGCGTCTGAAGGAACTGAACCT